GGCTTTAAGAAAAGCACTCTTACTTATACACGTAACATTTTTGCTCTTTGTGGGAAAGGCAGCAGCAACAAGAAGCGATCATCACTACAGTAACGGAGAACGTCCACCCTTACCTGTAGCAAAGAGAAGTGCCTAAAGCCAGCACGGCCAAGTAGGGTCCTTTTGTGTATTCCAGAAAGGAAGTCGTCCGATGTTCCCGCACGGACGTGACGTTGATAATCATGCCCAAAACAAACCAATCGAACATTGTCGCTCACGAGAGCATGTCAGAATAACTCCGATGAATTTTAAAACTATCATCTGCGTGTCCTCTTCATCCAAGCACCCTTTGTGCTCCAAGTGATTGTATCGTTTCCCAATATGCTATGCCTGGACCCAATTTACAGGAGTAACAAACTGCTACTGCCTTTGTTCGTGTTTCTTGTGGAAGAGGGCTCCGGTCTCAGACATGCTTTTGCATACGCCTTCGTTGAATCCAATCAACAGCATTTCGAAGCACACCTGCTGGGAACGTTAGCGAGAAGAATGAGAGCGCAAGCAAGACAATTCTGGCCAATGTGACCCAAGACTTCGCCGAGATCGAAGCCATACGGGAAACCTTTTATTCGACACCTGTAGTGCAATTATGTCAATTCCACGTCATGAAGCGGTTCAGGACGGCTGCTGGACAGGTGTCTTATTCAATGGAAGAACGAGAGAGGCACATCAGCAGCATAAAAGGCTGCTAATGCAGCGTACGGAATGAGCAGCTTGCAGCATGCTGCATTCTCAGACACCAGGCATGTTTGAGGAAGAACGTGTTGAAATCGTGATGTATAAACGATGCTTCCTAGCACTTCAAGAAGCACTGGGCACCTATTCTTAAAACGTGAGCCCGACAGCGCTGTGATCAGGTATTCACTTCAGGTGACAGCACTACGGACCGCGTGACTTTGCACAACGGAAAACTCATGGACATTATGTCCTCAACTGGAAAACTTCATGTAGCTGGCTCTACTTGCCCTCCTGAATATTTCAAGTTCAATGTTACAAGAGGCAAGGCACTAAGAAACATTGCGACACACCTCCACATTTTACTTTTAAAACAGATCCAGAGAGACTAAGACAGTGTGCTTATATATAAGAGATCGCACTCCGCACGCATGTCTCTTATTAGCAAGGAAGAAAAAACACTCCGCACGCAAGTTCTCTTATTAGCAAGGAAGGACAAAATTCAGAAGAAAACATTCTTGAAGTCCGTCAGCTGGCACCAGAGATGATGTCAGCTTGCGGTGTCATGTGCCATGAAGTCGCATTAGTAGAGCAAACCTGAAGCTGCACCATGTTTTTGAAGATGGAACTGTTATGCTTCCACTTTCGGACTGTTTGCGAGAAAATCAACAAGATGACATACATAAAGAAGGCAGTGAAGAAACGCTGGTTTAATTCGTACAAGCTGGGTTTCCCGGCCGATAGTGTTGAAGCAAGTAAAGAGCTTAGGGAAGACACCAACGTTACACAAGTCCTGATAATACCTGAACCGTTGTACCACAGGGTGAATAGGAACCAGCGCTTTAGTTATGTCATGCCAACTTTTAAGATAATTGCTGACTACTTCGACTGTCTAAAGGCTTTTTTCACTGAAAGGTTTGTGTTTCTGGAATATCTCCAAAAGGGGGCTTCGCTAAAAGGAGAGGATATTGTGACAGGCGCCGATAGCAGCAAAGGGCTAACATACTCGCAGCATCAGAACGTCTGTGCTATTGTTACGTGCGAGCCCAACGATATCACCACGCAGCAGGAGCACAGCAACTAAGATTTGTCATGTAGATACAGTGACCGCAACAAGGACCCAGGAGAACCATTTCAACATGTTTCTTGTACTAGCCAAGCTGCACATGGAGGTGACGACTCTTCTACACATCACGAGACTGTCCTCTTGCCTGAACCCGCTCCGGACCATTCAGAGACCCCGGGTCAAGCATTCTTCAGGTTGAAGCTCTCTGTGGTAAAGAGAGGTCGTCCAAAAAAGGAGCCGACCCAACGGCAGAGCAGGATACCAAGGTACTCCGCCAGCACTCGACCAACGCCCATTGTGCAACTTCCAGAAAGTGGCTACACGCAAATGTAATTATTATAATCAATTGCATTCACGAATGATTATTTATTTTTAGGTTTCTATGTGGTGTTGACCTTTTAGTGCTTCTGAATAGAATTGTTGGAAAAGCTGTCTGTTACCATGTCCTAAATCAAGGGTAAGTTTTGGAATAATCAGAAATGGGAGTGTGGCCAGGAGTCCTGCCTAGTGGGCTTTTAGATTATAAAGTAAATTTGCGAAAGCCAAGGAAGTATTTGAAACAAGATCTCAGGGCCCGTTTGACTTCATCCAGTTTGTGATATTTTTATTTCTTTAAGTTTCTTGAAGAGTGGTGCACGAACCACGTCCGTTCAGCCTCGAGCCGAGTGGTATGAACCTTGAAATATAATAAACGAGGATTACAATGCTATGAATATTTGCTTCTATGAATCTAATGTCGAATTCAAGTGATCACTTGCCGTCGAGACGTTGCTGATGGCACCGGCAACCAAAAACACGCCAGTGGCTGACCACGTGACCATCTCCACCGGAACACAAGACGCCGGCAACTGGCGCTTTTGTTTGCCTGGGTTGCACGAACGCTTTAACTTCTTGCTCTAATAATGCAGGGCACCATGAGCGCGCTGTATACGTCCAACAACATGTGTGCAAACTGAAGCGGCTTCGCAATAGTTTTCGAAATGTCAACATCACTACAGTCGTCACAAATTCAAGGATTCTATAATTATAAAATTAATGCACATTAATAAATCTTTGTGGTGCTGGCGTACAAGCGTCCGATTTCATTAAATCCTGTTTCGATTTTCGAAGAAGTGGGGCCAATTTGCGAGGATCGAAAGTCTTGACAGTTTTATTTTTCATGTTGCTATTTTATTGCTATTTCTTTTTTTTTACTCCTCAATCATTTCATGGCACCCAACTCCCTCGTAAATGTAATGTGCGTTGAAGTGCCGAGCTGGGCATCACGAGCTATACACAGTGTATTAACGTGTTATTTACCAGCTGTAAAAAAATAAGAAAAAAATGTGTGGATAGTGATGCAGATCGGTGCCCAGAGCAAGCTGACCCTGTGCAAGCTAGACAAATTATTAAAAAAAATATTGGCTTCCTTGAGTACCTTAATTATCTTTATCTTCATTGTTTTTTTTTGTTTTTTTTTATTTCTGTTCTCAGAGTGCAAAAATATGTGTGCCTCGATGTTTTCCTATTGTGACTCCCACCAAGATATTTGCAGCGGTCGGGGAGCATTGTTTTTTTAGGCTCCTTTTTGCAGATTCGAATGTGACGATACCTGATACAGTCTGGGATACTTATAATATTAATATTAAATTTAAAACATATATTTGTGATAATTTTTTTCTTCTTCTCCTTTGCAGGATTTGTGCTGGAAACTGGAAAGCAGGTGTCAAGTAGCTGTTGTTCTGCATGTTCCGCAAAAACAATTGATTGTTTATCGACACCAGGTGTACGAGATCTGACCTCTTGAATGATGTAATAAAGATGTGTCGTTTTCTTCGCAGATGACTGCCTTTTTTCTGCTTTTATGTGAATTCGTGGGTTGCGACCGGTCTACCACCTAGTTTCGGAAGCAGAAGAAGATTGCTTGACCGCGTCAATTTGAAAACATACATTACTCAACACAATCGCTGGTGGGGTGCCGCTGGCCTGTTCCTAAGGCGGAGCTTCATCGATGGGCGCGGCCTACGGAGAGAGAGCAGCATGCGAGCGACCGGATCGTGCGTATTTTAGCTAGGGAAGCCCGCCGCGCTAGCTAAACCTTGCTTACCGAAACCTTTGCGGTTTCAACCTGGCGCACGCGTGAGCCCGATATTATGTTAGGACAGAGCGAAGCGCTGCGAGGAATGCAAGACCAGGTTGTCGCCACGACCCACGGCCGCCGCACAGGCGGCGGCATCCCCTCAGCGGCTCGAACCACAGCATCGCGCGAAGCCAGCGTAGACGCGGAAAGGCACCACGCCCCCGCGAGACGAAATCAATTCGCGGCTAGGCACTAATCCTAGCCAAAGTTGGAGATCCTACCGCCCAATAAACGCGCCGTTCCAGTCGTCCTCTACGAACATCGCGAAGACAGCCTACTACTATAAATGTGACAGGCGCCCGTGGCTATACATTAGAGGCAGCACGTTTCCACGTACCTTTGAGACACCGACCAGTTTAGGAACAAGTTTCATTTCAGGTTCGAGAGTCGAAATGAAAAAGGCCGCTCGTTGTTTTCGCATAAATACGCGATAGGGCGCCTTATGGTCGTGGTTGGGCTGGTTAGACAGGTGTCCGCGATGTGGCGCAATACCCTAGTGCACATAGCACCTTCCGGTCCAGTCGTACTATATAGTGCATATTGCGTCGCTAATTCGCAATGCGGAAATCTTAACCACACTTTTAACGATGCCTTTTGTGCAGTTCGCTTGATTTAAACAAGCTCTTTTCCGTAGGGCAACGTAAAATATTTTTCAAGTGTTTTGATTTTCGGCGAATATTGCGAGAGTTTTCGCCGCACGTTAATTAGCTTTTACTTGTAGAATAATTACCTCGAAGGCCAGGTCTACTAACGTGTAGCGTTTACTTTTGTTCGTTCTGCACGAGCTGTACGAGGTTAGGTCTAGCCGAGGTGCTACAGAAAGCAAAAATATGGCGCTTAGAGATTTTACAACAATCCGTGCTAAATTAAGCCAATATTTAGGCGAGAAAAAAAAAATGTTAGGCTATACCCACTGCCAGAAAGAGAGCCCGTGTCATTCGAGTGCGGGGCTTCCATTACGCACTCCGTGCCTTCCATCGTGCTTTGGCCACGCGCATGCGCAAGAGGTGCGCGAGACGTTGAGTGTTGTTGAATGTATAAAGCACGTGCCGTTCTTAATTTGTTAGTAACTAAGATAACTTTTTTAAAAGTAGACTTGCATACCTTTTCGAACGGAAGAAAAATCGTGTACTCCTTCTTCAAAGTCCCGCGCCATAGCGAAGAATATGGTCGGTGAACCGTAGATCATCGTGCATCTGAAATGTAAAGTTTGTTCTTGAAGACTTGCCAGCAGATTTTAAAAAACCAAATCTAACTTTGTGGCTCATAGCTAGTTTCAGTGTGGCCTAGTCAACAAATAATGTTTCGCTGTATCCCATCGGAAGTAACAGCGAACAAACGATCCTCCTCTTGAGGAGGTATGTCGCCTTAGACGAGTGGCCACGCTGTTGGTGAGGTCTAGTCAAATAGTACTACCCGAGGCCAGTCTGAATGCAATGCTGAAGCGGACCTTTGAAAGGGGCAGAAAAACATCCGGAAAAAAAGGCGAGTAATGTTTGAGAACACCTTTACTTAGTTTCGCCCGAGGGGCGCGTTCACACTTGAAAGCTTCAGTGAAGATCGCAAAAGCGACCGGTTCGGTGCAGTTACGTCATACCTATTTCTTAGTTCGGTCGCAAAGCCGCCGTGCACATAGGAAGTTACGTGAGACACTTGCTGTTTCTTAACGTACGGCATTTAGGCGGGATATGCATGTCCGCTTCAAAGCGATGTTCGCAGTAGCTGACTTGAATACAAAGTCATGGACGTCTGCACAGCGGCTCTGATTAACACTGTTAAAAAATATCCATGAATTTATAACAAGCAGCGCCCTGATTTCAACGAGCGTCCGAACACGAACTCGGCTTGGCAGAAAATTTGTGCCCTTTTTTACTTGACAGGTACAGTCGTGGACGATGTGAAAAAACCTTGGCCAATGCGTGGCTCGCAATATATCAGTGCTATTATATAGCGGAAGAAATATTGGTTATCATCGAAGCTATCTGGAAATAAGATTATTTTTTGCGGCTTGGATTTCCTCAACACTTCCCAATTGGTCGGATAAGGATTTGTTCAGTCATAAACAAAAACAGTGCTAAATAATAATAAAAAAAAGCTTGATGGACTTTTAAGCATTTCTTCAAATTATTTTTTGGATACGAAACCATCCCTGGCTCGCCGGTGACTGCTGTGCCAGTGGGTGATGCAGCGGCGGGAGTGCGAACCTCGGTAGGGCGCGTGCTAAAGTTCCGTGTTTTCTCATCATCATCATCGCCCTAGCTGCGGGTACCGGTTGAACATGTTAGACCTTAAAAAGTAGCTTTTGACCTAACGTTAAGCCTGACGTCAGGCCAGCGCATACCCGAGTCCCCCCTCACGTGCAACTGCTGAGCGTACTGGTTGACCTTAGACCTCAAAGCGGGTGGATAGGCCTTACGTTAGGCCTAGCGTTAGGCCCAGCGTCAGGACTTCCGCTTTGCTGCCAGCAGTTCGGCTGACTCCTTAGCAACGATGACGCCGTTGCTATGGAGCCACATGACGCGTCGCAGCCAATGGAAATGTAGGTCTCGTTTTGCTCAGGGGAATTTAGGTCCCGCTTCTGGCTGCTACAGACGGAATTTAGGTGCCGTTTGGCTCAGCCAATTGGAATATTGGTGCCGCTTATGGGGGGGGGGGGGGTGCTGCTACAGGCGCCGAAGACGCCGGCTTCTCTCAGATAACGCCGGGTCGTTTCATGGAACAGTTAATGCGTGTGCATAAAAAGCGTTTCCCGTGATTTGTCACGTGGACTTATCAAACGACCGAAACCTAACCATGTTGAATTAACCCGAGACTGGGGCACAAAACAAGCATGAAAACGAAGAAGCAGCAGAAAATAGATGGGACGACTTCCCAATTTCAACTAACTCCTTGGCGTTTTCAGATAAGATCGAACAAGCATGTCTGGTGACCATTTTTACTTTTGACGAAAAAATAATTATGCTGGCTTTACGCCCAGAAGAATAAAAGCAATCATTGTTTTCGGGCAAAAAATATTCTCTTCCGAAAAAAAAATTGTGAGCACCCTCCAGTCACGTGCGCGTTTTGCGTATCGCGCGATGTTTACATTTTGGGCGGCTTCCCCCAAAACACTGTTCTGGCTACGGGCCTAGAAATATTCACTGATAACTTACACGTAGGAAGCATTGACAAAAAATATTAATTACCGAGTATTAGGGTATTTATTTTGAGAAAAAAATCGCAAACACTGCACATGCGCAATAACACCCTGAATTAAATGAAAATTTTCGCCGTATCTATAAGAGCTAAAGTCTTGAGACTTTGCCAGTGTGTTACCCTGTATATAGCTAATATTTGCGTGAAATATTGTTGTCCTGGTTAGCGAGAGAACGTTTCAAGAATTGTTCACACAGGGGTATTTAACTGAAAATGCGTTATTTTGAAAATCAGTTAAAAAAAAGGCTATCTTTAATAACCTCTAAACTCTCTGAAATTAACGGTCGTAATGTGTACCAGATGAGTCCGCGAAAATATGAAGCAATATGTGTGTGCCTTTTAAGTTATAAAGCGAGAAACATGGGCAAATTGACGCTAACGCGGTTGCCATAAATGGGGCGCGCACGTAACCGTTTATCACAATTTTATTATTATTAAAAAAAAAAGTAAAAATGCTACGTGGTGGTCAGCAAAAGACAAATTGACAGCACAGAGGTCGCTACTTAAAAAAAGAAGTTCTTTTGCTGACAAGGCCACGGTCGGCGCGCTTACGCAGAAATCCCTACTGAACATAATAACCTGTGCCTCGTAGAGCTTGCGATTTCGTCGTTCCCCGAAACGTTTCAGGATTTTTGTTTTCGTGAACAAGGCGGAGCACTGGCAGTCCCTGACATGTATGGCAAAGTGGCCTGCTGGCGACAACTTTAGTTACACGGCATGTTCTCTTCGACGATCTTTGACACACCTTCCTGTTTGACGAACATACACTTTCCCACACGTAAACGGTATTTCGTATACGACTGTACATTGGCATTCGACGTATCATTGTTCATGTTGAACTCCACACACGCCCTGTTGCTGCCGCTTGTTGTTAATTTTCGGACACAACTTCTTTAGTTTCTCCGGTGCAGGTAGCACGACTTCGACGTTAAAGTTCGATTCAATCTTCTTAAGGTTGTGGGGAGTGCGGTGAATGTATGGAAGCATAGCCGTTCGGATATTTGTGCCCGCTTTTATCTTTGTTGTCAACGTGAGGTGATAATGGACTCGGCGACGTCATACAAGACGGAACTTGGATAGCGAGAACTTTGAAGACTCTGCTCTTGATCATAAAAACTGTCCCCCGCTGAATGTATACAAAATTTCTTTAGCGCCGCATTTAGGGAGTTTTTTACAATTTCTCTCTTAATAATCTTCGAATGTGCCAAATCGTATTGCAGGAGGCCTTTTTCAGATTTTGGGGCGCACTTCCAACAAGTATGATGTTCAAAGAACGACAGTTGTAGATCCAATAATTAAAGAACGGTGTTCACCGGTAAGTCATGCGTGAAATTTAGCCCTTCTCCTTTTTTAAGGAACGTAGATTTTATGGTGTAGAATATTTGTAATTCATTGTCTGCCGGACGTTGTGTAAGGAGAACCAGGTAGTCGTCCACGCACCTAAAAATACGGGAAACTTGGCCGGTGGGAAGGGCATTAGATATTGTCCAATCACACTGCGAAAGAAAAAAAGTGAAAGCCGTTTACAAATCCCTGAAACGCCGAATTGGAGCGCAGCTCTTGAGGAGGAGGAGTGAAGGGTACTGAGGGAAGGGTAGACCCCTCCTCCTTCTCCTCCTCCTCCCCTCATTCTTTAATATGCTCCGGGGGGGGGGGGGTCACGTGACTTCGGGGAGGGGGGTCACGTGACCTCGGGGAGGCGTGACCTCGGGGACACGTGACCTTGGGTGTCACATGGGGGTCACCTCAAGGTCACGTGACCCCCAAGGTGACCCCCCACGTGACCGCAGGGGTCACGTGACCTGGAGGGGTCACGTGACCTTGAGATGACCTTGGAAGGGGTCATGTGACCTTTGGGGTCACGTGACCTCGGGGGTCACGTGACCTTGGGGAGGAGACCGCGTGACCTCGGGGGTCACGTGACCTCAGAGGGGTCACGTGACCTTCAAAGGGTCACGTGGGGTCATCTTGGGGTCACGTAACCTTGAGATGACCTTGGGAGGGGTCACGTGATCCCAAGATGACCCCACGTGACCCCCAAGGTCACGTGATCTTCAGGGGGTCACGTGGGGTCACGTGACCTTGAGATGACCTTGGGAGGGGTCACGTGACCTGGAGGGGTCACGTGACCTTGGGATGACCTTGGTTACGCCGACGCCGACGCCGACGCCAATGCCGACGCCAACGCCGACGCCGACGCCGCTCAAGCCGGGAACGGGCCCCTAAGAGCTGCGCTCTAAAAAATATTGCAGAGGGCTGGAGCGACGCACGACCCAATACAAATTCCTTTGTTTTGCAAGTAAGTCTTGCCCTCAACCGTAACGACTGTGGCAGAAAGGTATAACTGCAAAAGTTGTAGAAATGATTCTTCCGTAAATACACATTCGTTTTGAAAGGACGTGGTTCCCTTTGCCTTAATACACTCTTTGACGGCGGAAGATAATTTTAAATGTGGGATCGAATAAAACAGGCCTTGCGCATCAAGCGAAAATCTGTATTTGAGTCGTAAACTTCCTCTTTCTTATTTTTTTTACTGCAGTTTCTATGAACATCGTCGAAGGACTCAATCGTTTTTAAAAAGTCTTTTAAGCGAGCAGCTTAAAGCTTAGTATCCTTAGCAGTTCATTTCCAGGCAGTGTATGGAGTACTCTAGCTATAGCATATGTCTGTTAATGTGTCAGCTGAACGTTTTAAGGACACACGCACACAGACGAGCAAAAAGGCAGACACACTTCGTTCGTCTCTGTGTGTGTGTCCTTAAAACGTTCAGCTGGCACTTTAACAAGCATGATCCAAGTAGCTCAGCTTTAAGTCGTCACAAAATGGCATACGTTTTTGCGTCTTTTCATTATGCATGTTTTAAAAGTATTTTTAGGTTCTTTTTCCTCTTTCTCCTTTTCATTAAACGTCAGTTATTAGTTCAGCACCCTACCCTGTCTCTTTTCTCTATCCTTCCTTGTCGTATTTGCGCTGTTAATTCCATATAATGAACAACCAGCAA